GATATTAAATTTGAAGAGACAGAAGTATTATTTATTGAAATTGATAATGATAAACTGAAAAATTGTGTTATTGGTTTGATTTATAGACCCCCTGACAGTAATTTTGATTTATTCTATAACAATTTTGAATCATGTCTTCATAAAATATCTGAGGGTGACTTTAATATAAATTTTCTTTCTTTACCCCATAATAGTAAAAACTCTGACAGGTTTATTCATTTGATGCGTTCATATGGATTTTGTTCATATATTAGTAAGCCCACTAGAATAAATGTACACTCCTCAACGCTTATTGATAATATTTTTTCTAATGCATTTACTAAAAAAATAACTGGAGGATTATTATGCTCAGAAGTTTCTGACCATTTACCTATTTTTGTAATATGTGAACATGAAATTTCCCAATTGAAACCACTTAATAGTATTATGTATCGAAAAGAAACCCCTCATAATATTGAATTATTAAAGCAGAATTTAGCTGTAGAGGAATGGGTGGACGTATATAATGTAAACGATGTAAATATTGCCTATGAAATTTTCAATAATAAATTACAAACTTATTATGATAGTAATATTCCTATAGCGAAAGTTAAACGTAAAAATAATAAACCAAATAACCCTTGGATAACGAAAGGTATACTAAAATCAATACAAACTAGAAATCGCATGTATAAAACATATATACGTAACAAAACTGATGTAAATTTAACAACTTATAAAAAATACCGTAATAAATTAACAAAATTAATTCGAATATCCCGGAAGCTACACTTTTCAAATAAATTAAAGAGGGCTAGTTGTAACACATATGCTACTTGGAAAATTATTAAAGAAATTATGGGGAAAAAAATAGACCCTTTACCAAAAGATGAGTTCACCTTAAATAATGTTATAATTGAGGATTCTAGTAATTATGCTAATTATTTTAATTCATTTTTCACCAATATTGGGCCTCAACTTGCAAGTAAAATTGATAGTCCTCCTAACATTCATTATACTGACTTTTTATCAGATCGAATCCAACAATCACTTTTTTTAAGTCCAACAAACCCTAATGAAATTATTACCGTTACTAAAGCATTAAGCATGTCCAAAGCTCAAGGTTGTGATAGAATTAGTACATCACTTTTAAAACAAATAATACATGTTATTGCAAGTCCACTTAGCCATATTATTAATCAGTCTTTTTTGCAAGGTGTTTTTCCAGATTTACTTAAGATAGCGAAGGTAATTCCGATCTTTAAAAAAGATGATTCGCATGAAATTAGTAATTATCGTCCAATATCTATTCTTCCTAGCATATCTAAAGTTTTAGAGAAAATTGTCTATAATAGGTTAATCAATTTTTTAAATACTCACCAAATATTAAATTTAAATCAATATGGTTTTAGGAAAAATCACTCCACTGACTTGGCCTTAGTACAAATTTATGATAAGATTACTAATGCCATAGCAAATAAAGAACACGTAATTGGTATTTTTTTAGATCTCAGTAAAGCGTTTGATACGCTCGATCATAATATTTTACTCAAAAAACTCTCTTTTTATGGTATTCGGGGCAAAGTCCTCTCATATCTTAAGGATTATTTAACAAATAGAAAACAATATGTTAATTTTAACTGTCTTAATTCGGATTTACTTTCCGTTAATTGTGGCGTCCCCCAAGGCTCCATTTTAGGCCCACTGTTATTTCTTTTATACATAAATGATTTATCCAACACATCTTCTTTATTGTCATTTATTCTTTTTGCAGATGACACAAATATGTTTTGCTCTCATAAGAAATTAGAATCATTAGTGAATATTTTAAATTGTGAATTACACAAAGTTTCGAACTGGTTTAAGTGTAATAAGCTCTCATTAAACATAAGAAAAACACATTTTATGCACTTTAAACACTATAATTCTCATTTGACTAATTTCCGTATTAATATTAAAATTGATAATATGGCAATCGAACAAAAAAGGACATTAAAGTTTTTAGGAGTTTTTATTGATGAAAATTTAACATGGAATGATCACTTACATTATGTATCTATGTGTATATCTAGAAGTGTTGGAATAATAAATAAGTTAAAATTTCTTTTGCCCCATACTACGTTATTTTTATTGTATAACACATTAGTACTTCCATATATAACATATTGTAATATTGTTTGGGCAAATTGTGGTGTAACCAAACTTAATTCAATTCTTTTATTACAAAAAAGGGCATTGCGTATTTGTACTGGATCTCTTTTTTTAGCCCATACAGACCCATTATTTCTTAAGTTAAAAACCTTAAAAGTCACTGACTTACATACGCTCCAAGTTGCAATTTTTATGTTCAAATACATGAATAAGCAACTGCCACCTTCATTCGATAATTTTTTTGTTCATAATAATACAATTCATTCTTATCCAACTCGTATTTCTGAGAATTTTCATTTAACTAACCCCAGATTGTTGATTACACATAAATCAATCAGACACCATGGCCCCGATTTATGGAACAATTTATCTCAACTAATTAAATCATGCTCGACCCTTTATTCTTTTAAAGCGACACTAAAACGTCACATTATATCCTCATACAAAATCGTTATTCATTAAACTTCGTCTCTTAATTCGAATATAATTTTAATTTATTAATTCTTAAAATACAATAGTATTGTATTATAAACATTACATACCAGAACCCTATTCGCACTTGCACATGCACTTTCACTGCACCCACTTGATCAATTTCGTGTGTACAACTATATTTTTTGAGAGTTTGCCGCTATTCTCTCGAGGCCGCCATCGATTTCAAGCTTACCGCTCATGATGGCGGTCTCCTGCATTTTCTGTAATTTATCTTTCCTTTTTTCTTTTTTTTCATTGAAATTATATTTGTGTTTGTATGCATCTTATTCAATGTACTTAAAAATGTATAATCATGTAAAATGAAGAAATATTTGTTACTTTATGTATATGATTATGTTTCATTTTGAAAATGCAGAAATAAAAATAAATAAACAATAAACAAACAAACTACATTTTCACTCTCACGAGGAGTGACGTCCGTGATCACTCGATTTTTTTTTTAGAGAGTACAAGACAGTTTAGGCCTTTACATATTAATCATAGCACTAATGCGGGATGATTTATCAATCAATCAATCAATCAATCAATCAAAATATCAACTGATAAGTTGATCCGAAGCCTAGATCATTTGACCAATCAGCCCTGCTGGAAAGAACACACTCATTCACAGTGTGAATCACACTGTGTTTCACAGTGTGCTCCACAATGTTAAATTGGGGCGTTTTCACATTGTGGTCGATTCGTTTCACACTGTGGTTCACAATGTGGATAACCGGAAAAGGAAAGAACACACTCAATCACAGTGTGAATCACACTGTGTTTCACACTGTGAATCACATTGTGCTCCACAATGTTAAATTGCTGTAACTTTTGCCCATTACATCGAATAACCATGTTACATGTACATGTAAACATATACGACCTTAGTACACCTTTTTGCTATCGCGGGAAATCGCATGTGCATAACCACAACAAAGAGTATTACTATTACCTTTGCTGTTTATAATGCGGAATTGCCGCCAGATCGTCACGACCCATGCACTGACCTCGATTTTTTTTTTAGGTTTTAGGTTTGGTGTTTTTATGTTTGCTTACAGTGCGATTGGTTTGTTAAAAGGTGTACGACGGAAAGATAGAATCTCAAAGCTGCACGATTATGTAGACAGGGTTTGTGAAACGTCCTTGTATAATAATATTTACCTCCCAAAGTAACGATATTAGTTGTGATCCGGGGTTGTAATCACCGTAGATATTAACAGGAGCAAACTAAAAGTTCATATCTGATCTTTGTTTCAAGCAACATCAATCTGCAGCTCAATAAATCTCAAGACAATTGTCTCCACTCCGTCATGACCTTTAATAGTAGGCCAACATTGTTAAGAAAAGACACACACAAATGATAACAATATACCGTACAGCAAAAAATAAATAAATATATAGACTAATATAGGGTTTGACAGTCAACCATGTAAACGAAGGTTGGCACATGCAGTACAAAACATTCGACCAACTACATGTATTTCATCCATGGACACACGGTGGACTTACAGTAAACCGTTGTACTTTTAATTGAAATAAATGCCGAGAGAGAGAGAGAGAGAGAGAAAGAGAGAGAGAGAGGGAAAGAGAGAGAGAGAGAGAGAGAGAGAGAGAGAGGGAGGGGGAAAAAAAGAGAGAGAGAGAGAGAGAGAGGTGATGCAATGTCTTGACTTTTTGTCAAGAGAAAGATAACATGTTTCATTGTCATATCATACACTCATGCAAATATCTCCCAGATGGTTTGATTTTATGAAGTATAATAAACCAACCCAAACGAACCAAAACAAAAAGAATACATTCATTTTGATTTAAAAAAAAAACAAAAAAACAATGCAAATAAACAAACAAACAAATAAACAGCATACTCGGCACTCATATTTAACTTACACCATGGGTGATTTCAGTGTCTAAGATCCATATTACCTCCCAAATTACACGATAATTATTTTTTTTAAAGGGTGCAAACTTATATGACAACAATTTACATCAGTGACGGATTAATTAAGATTCGTGTAAATATTCTCATATTTATCCTATCTCTTTAAAACTCTCGTATTGTAGGGTTAGTTTTCATATCATTGCATATGTAGCATTGACAATATTACTAATTCCTTAATTTGTTGTCTAAAGCCCTTCGCACATTATTCCATCCATTTTTAAGAAGGCTTATATGCACTAAACTTTCGGTTGTTAGTATTCTTATTATAATTCAGAACCTACATCAGGAAGACGATTAAAGAAAAAATGTTTTGATAAAGACTTCTACATCTAATATAAGTGCCGTATTTTCGAAACTTGGATCGCAGGACGATCGGATGGTGTGCGATGGGCCTTATTACGATGTAAACAGAGTTTTTTTAAGGCGAGAGGACTGTGAGGAGTGTGAGCCTACCTACCTCTGAAACGAATGAAGACCTGCTGGATGTTGGCGGTACGGGAAAGCAAAGCTACGCTTCTTGATGTGATGCAAAGTGACAATTCGGAACCTATCAAAGCTTTGGAAATTGCAGTAAACTAAGATTCAATATATAGGGAGAGTGGAGCTGAGGACGAGACAGTTGTACGACCCTGCGGATCTCAACGAGGGAGGCGGCGGTGTGGTTCCGTGATTTTATTTCGTTGTCTGCCCTATACCATGCAGGTCATCCACGAACGAATAGAACCCCCGCGGTATCATGCACGGAAGATCAACAACAGTGACTCAGTTCGGGTACGCATAATAAGCGTGCCTGGATTTTTATTTGTGTGTCGTTTTCTTTACCTTCTCGTAAAAAAAAGTTTTTTTTCAAAGATGTTTATAAAATAATCGCAATTCATGTCCTTTGTGCAGGTACGACATAAAACCCTGAATAAAAGCTGTATACCTGACTGATTTTTATGCCAAATTCAAGCTTATTTTGTACATGACTTTGGTGACAATTGTTGAATAAAATACGAGTCTTTGTTAGAAAAAAATGTCGATGTAACTTTTTAATTCTTCGTAATTTTGTTTACTTCACTTCAGTGCAGTGGATCTCTCATTTACTTGTCATTCTATGACGTATCGTTTCTTACCAAGCCAATAGTTGCTTTCAGAATTAATATGTCGATTGCTTCCCTTATAATTATTGGCATCAAGTTGATTCCATGGATCTCAGGAGTAGGCCCCTACTTAACTAGCCCTCCGGCCCCTGCCCAAAAAATACATATTGTGCATCTCTCATATAGATGCACTGTGATATCACTTATCACTCACACCCCTGTCCCTCCTATAGAGTACAGTAGATCTCCATCTCCTCCCTCCCACTCCTCCCCCCCCCCCCCTCTCTCTCTCTTCGCTGCTCTCTCCTCTATCTAGCTCTTTCTGCTACCCCACAGTACCCATCACGATATTCGATTACCTCAGTACAGTAACACCGCGATCATTGACGGGTCGGAGAAGAGAAAGGGGCGGGAAGGGGTTGGGGGAGGGGGTTCACTCCCCCCCTCCGCGCAAAGCGCGGAAGCTTTGACCTTTCATTAATTTATTAGAGTAAGAAGACGATTCGTTGTACCATTCTGGACTCTTGTCTTTGTCTGCTCCTTTTTCTTTCTACACCCTCTCCCTGTTTTCTCTTCTCTCTCTTTCTCTCTCTCTCTCTCTCTTTTTTGGCAGGCGGGTTTTTTTTTTTTTTTTTGGGGGGGGGGGGGCGACCGCCCCCTGGCTCGGCATACAGATACACATATCAAAATTTACTTCGTGTATATTTTACATTACTGGAAGTTCAGTTGTAACAGGTCAAACGTGTACTGTTTTGTGACGAAACGACCATTTCAATATATATCTACATGTATTTCTATCAATAACTAATTAATATCTCCTCAAGAAGTGAACAGAAAGAAACAAAACTTTGAACTTCAAAGGAGTATGGTTCACACATATTCCGAGTAAAAGCACACTTGTCATTTAGTTTTTAAAAAACGACATTCCACAGCTATGAGAAAGTTTATGACGTACTTACCGGTCTCTTGCACGGATAATTAAATAGAGAGTGTAACTGTTATAAAAGGGGCAGAGGTATTAGCCAGATTCGCTCCTGCACTGCATCTTGGGCAGGCAGAGAAGTCGCCTCTTCAAGCCTCTGGGGTTACATTAGGTAAGAAGATTATCCTTCTGTCAAGTTTGATAATTATTGAGATAATTAGTATTATGTAGATGTATTCTGATGTTGTTTTATAACTTTGGTATTGGTCTAAATGATAATGTGTGCTGAATTAATATGCATTCTGTAAGGTGCAGCATATTATCTGTTTAATCATCAGTGGGTTGATTTCTTTAGTGAGTTAAGCACTTGATTCTGATTTAGTAATAATAATTTGAGATGATTTAAGATGTCATTATGTTATGTTATATTAATTGCAATCTTTGGGTGATATAGTTATATCATATGTTGAGGTTAATTTTGCATAATCATATTTTGCGTAACAGTTGTAAAGTGACATTTTAGAGAGTTAATAGTTTGCGGTTATAGTCAATGAATTATGATAAGTTTTGTGTTTTGGAGTGAATTCCACAATGATATCTATTAATTATTACTCCTTCAGGTGTTACCAAACAACATGTAAGAAGCGGGTACCATCAGAGGCCAGATTGTCAGGGTGAGTGGTAATCATACAAACCACTAATTAAAAGGAATTTTTAATTGTAAATTATGTTTCATTGTTTGATAAAGTTCACTTAATAGTTGTAATTATTTATTTGTTGGGAGAGCTATCGATAATGATTGAAGAACTTGTTTGTGATTAGATACTGCTTTTTCACGCAATATTGATTAAGTTTTAATTAATGGAGTATAAACAACCTGTTTATCAGTAATTACTATGAGTCGGCTTGACGTCATATTGTTAGAATTCGTATCTTGGAGTTAATAAACGAATAATATGTTTATTGCTATTATGTGTGTTTTCAAACACGTTCTTGTTTCTATTTGATTGTATTACCTTTGTTTATTTAGGTTTATTTTGCCTTGTAACTTGCATCTGAAATACAACATCGAACCACAACACAAGGAATGGTGTAACGTGTCATATGTACCAGTTTCCGCGTGTCATTATCATGATTATTATTTTAAGTATTTGGCGTCACCTGTGCCTGGGAGGCGACAAGCGGAATGACAATCTCTAACTGATGGGGTGTGCAGGTGGACTACTACACCGGGGTTTCCTGATCAGAAATGAATTTATTGTTTCACACAGAGAAAGGTTACTCTTTCGGACAATTCAAGGTTTTTTTTTCCTTTCTCCTTCCTTCATTACCCTTTTCACTTGGAATCAAAAGATGAATACAACACAAGACCATGGCCATTAAAAAGGGCTTACTACCTCGTTTAAATTTTGAGTTACATTGCAATTCTTTGTGTGATTCAATTGCCTGAACACCTGGGAAACGCTAGCCTCTTCGACTTGCACTTTTTTTTTATCAAGATAGAGAATTCAAATTATACTCCATTTTTATTTGTATAGTTTAGAAATTATAGTGCGAAATGTTATCCATGCTTCAAAGTTAATATTTGTACTGACACATTCGACTATACAGACTTTCGCATGGTATGAAACAGAAGTAATATCTATTATTAATCCCAGCCGGGGGAAAGGTGGATAGTACCCCCAAAAAACATCTACGCTGAGCCGATTCAAGCCATTTCCAATAATTGATTTGATATCATCTCTTCTGGATTATGATTTTTAATGCCTAATTTGCGTTACCGAAAGACCTTGCATGCACGTTAAAAGAATTGCCGTTTGGAAATTTGCCAGCACTGAGAACATTATCATGCCGAAATACTTTACAAAAGACGCCTTGAATCGACCAATCACAGAACTGCATAACTAGTACCTTCGTATCCACCTCCCACCTGCCAACAAGGTTGGGTTTCCCATGAACATTAGCCCTTGGTTTTCCCCAGGAACCAAGTAATAGTTAGAAGTATTATGTGTTTGGTGAACAGTTTGAATGATTCTGTTTATTTGCCTTTCGTCTACAATAGTTTAGCACACAATGAAATCAGGGTTCAACGGTTAAGGGGAATCGGTGGATGGTCCCCTTCTTGTATAGTTCATTTGTACCATGAGGGTTAAATTCATATCGCCTAAAAGATAAATTCGTATCTCATTCTAAAGTAGGTGGGGGCATCTTCATGAAGGGCACCTATAAAATACATGAATGAAAGGATTGCTATGCCAAAATGAATGGACGTTTTGTATCATATACTGTACTGCATTTATTTAATACATTCATCGGTCAGAAACTGCTTTACAGCAAGGACAACATTGATTATTATCCTCTTTCTACGGCTATATTCAAGTAATCGTTGTTGTTTTTTCGTCTTTCTAGACGTGAACATCATTCTATTTGCAGGCGAATGAAGCAAGCAAGGTAAAACAGAAACCAGTCCCGCTAGATTTCGAAAATCAATATAAAAGGTTATTTTTATTCAGATTAATTAGTTTGTTATTAGGAAAAGAGGGAGAGAGAGAGAGAGAGAGAGAAACAGAGACAGACAAGATAGACAAAAGTGGAGAGAGAGAGAGAGAGAGAGAGAGAGAGGCAGAGACAGATATATATATATATATATAGAGAGAGAGAGAGAGAGAGAGAGGGAGAGAGAAAGAGAGCTAGAGAGAATGATTTAGGATTAAAAAGTTATGAAAAATAAAGGACGTTATTGATACCCACTATGCAGCTTTTCTTCTGTTTATATTTCTTTCATGACTTGTCATACATTAGGGTTGATTTCCCCAGGAAATATTTACAGCGAGCTCGCATGGCGACCAATAGAACAAAATCTTCAGGATTATGAACAAGCCAAAGGCCGAGACGAAGAAATGACATCCTTAATTAGAAAATTACCCCACCCCCTCTTGTGCCTTTCACATCATAGTTCTTTCAGTCTAACGTGCTCATAATGGGTACGTCCTGATAACAACATTCCTTTTGATTTCTTCTGGTATCACAACAAAAACAAATACACTACAAAATACAATTTTTTAATTACAATAGTTCCGCCTGGAAACTATTTCTTGTTTATAGAACAACATCAGAAAAATTTACAAAAATACACGAGTTATTCCTTCATCCTAATAGGCCAAAGATAACATTAACAATATCGTTACTTCACGAAATGATTATGTGAAGCATTATTTTCAAAACTAGAAATACACACGTTGAATAATAAGTATGCAGATCCTTATTCTCATATTTTCATGAGTACAGCACATGTTAATATTTATAAATGTATGTTTCGTTAAACCATTTTTAATTTTCATGTTCCATGTGAAGTTTCCTAACAAATAAATTTTAGTTCACAAATTAATACCACCTTATCATTTCCCTCCATGGATCTTGATTACTGTTTTGTTTTGTTTGGGCTCCTAAGGGGGCATTCTGAGTAATATCAAGGTTTAAAATTCCAGTCGAAATGCCTTATCGATATGACGTCACGATGGAATATACAGATATAATACATACACAAGTCATGTACATTTTTTCTAATCCTAATTATAACCTAAATATAAAAATATCTCTCTTTACAAAATATTCACTCATCGGTATATATACATATTAGTATTCTCTTTGATCCAAAGAGATACAAACCGAGTGTTAATGGTTATTATGTATAAGTGTTTATACAATCATACAAGTAATATACAAATTGAATACAAATGTTCTTGGCAGTAAAAGCATGTATCTAAACATTTAAAAAAAACATCCGTCATGTACGATCTCTTTGGAATGATATGTTTTCATGGTTAAAAGAAAAAAATATTCGTAATGTTTTGTTCACTGGAAGAATTTTTTTTGGTACCCTCATTACCAAACATTATTATTTTGTCAATACAGTAGAATGCAAAACATTATTCCACTATTTTTTCGTTCTTTTCTACGAGCTCTTAAACTTTTAAAATATGGAACGTTTAATTGCTTTTAAGAACAATCGTCTCGATCGTCGTAATAGGAAATGGCATATATTTTGTTCAGTAATTTACTGATTCATTACAAAATAAGAACGAATACGTTTCAATCAATCGACCAACCAAAAACGACTGAAGCTACACCCTTTATATCTAAAAGTTATACAATTCAAAACAAGTTAGTAATGTGCAATATTTTGTCGTTATCTGTGAACGAACAGCAATATTATCGGAGCTTCACAAGAATGTAATTTCGGCTTTTGTTAATGAATTCTCTACCCTAACGAGTAACGACAATTTGAACACTGGCATAAATGATGCAGGATGAAGCCGGCATACGCCCTCTTTCCCTCTAAATGCCAAGAAAAAGTAATTCTATGCAACCTGCACTTGGATTGATGGCACAGGGGGCTGCATTGCGCCCCTTCCCCCGCCAGCGGAAGAGTTCGTGTACACATCAAATGGGTGGCTTTTATAACCAAACACCGAGTGTGATAATTAGAGATATATTGTTGCATGAAATAATTATATGAGATTTATAAGGCGCCGAATCCACTTGAAATAAAATGCTCAATGTGAGCTAATTGTCTTGTGAAGGAAAAAAAGCAATCGCATAAAAGGATCTGCATTATAAGAAGAGGGACAGAAGTACGAAATATAGAACATACATACATACATACAGTGTGATGTAACTGTGTTTGTTGGATAGGGTCACTACTTCGAGCAGCATTATGTATTTTTGTTAAAAAGTATCTCTGCATAGGGTTCTGTTTTCACATTCAAAGCCAACAAAATGGTTTGCACTGGAAAATTTGATTGTGGAAATCTTTTGTAATACGGAAAATGATGGAAATAAATAACGCGATCGCAAAGACGCCCAAAATAACTAAATATGAATAGACGTTACCATCACCTTTTGATATTTGTAAACATTACAATTACGTATTAAACGTAAAACTAACATGATTTCTATCGGATATACCGTAGGGCATTGAAATTGCCCCGAGTTGATTTGTCGAAAGCTGTTGCGACCTTGTCGAAATATCTCCATACTTTTTTCTTCATTTTATTAGCAGACTCCTTAGGTGTGTGTTATCATTGTTATATATGGTGAGCCCGCATTTCCGGTAAGTTTAGTCTCCGAGTTGTGAGTCGTTCCAGAGGGGCTGGTACCGCTGTCTAACCGGCAATTCTTCCTCATCCACTCTTCAATTGGCATCTCATTCATCATGCTCAACGGCCTCTGTGTAGAAATTACAATATTTGATAGGTAAAGCAAACCTGATATTTCATTGATAGCGCCCTATCGAAATGTTAGCAAGCCGTATATATTATCATACCTAACAAGTTACTCTTTGCGAAGAAGATACGATAACTTAAACTAATTAACCACAAAACACAATAAGTTAGTTTCAGCGAAATATGTCAGTCTCCATTGTAAAGAATATGTTGATTTTTAGCTGGTGATTCTTAAAAATTAAGGCCGGTGAGCAGAGACGGACTGGGACCGACATTCGAATGGGAAATATCGATGTGACCGGCCCACTCAACCCATAAGATACATATCAATCGGCCGTCAGACCACAAATTAACCGGCCATCAGGTCTGTTCGCCCCTGCCGATGACTACAGTATTTTCTACCCAGTCTATTTCCAATCGTTATCTAGAATGTACGGAGGAGACAGCTTTGCTGGCAATCTTCAGTGCATTTGTGTATCAAAAAGACGAGTTGTGTTGAATTTCCTATCCCTAAACAAAATAAAAACAATACATTTTGATACTCGTGCTAGAGATAAAAAGGCGACTTTAATGTAGCCAAATTCTACTAATGGGGGCTAAAAATTAAAGTCGTTCGGAAAACCCCCAAAACAACAGGAATTTAATTGCTGGCTATTCCGTGTTCAATATCTTCCTAGTTCCAAAGACTTATTTTTTCCCCGTTGCATCAACCGTTCATGAGAGTAATAAATTATTCTTTCATTAGTATGATTAACATGTCGGTGAGTGTGTAATAGATGAACACCACATTAATGTTCACACCCAATGACGTTCTTTAACCCGTTTAATGAGAAAAGAATATATGTACAGGTTGAGAGGAGCGACCATTTAGGAGGGGGGGGGGGTATCAATAGGCCAATGTCATCAACATCTATCACTCCCCAGACAGCGCTTCTCATTATACTACTCACCGTGACTGGTCCTGAATCCGTATCATCATGCTGAACACTTGTGTAAGTGACGTCATTCTGTAGATGATGATAAAACGGGAGACATAACGACAGGGAAAAGTTAGTATATTTCTTGAATGCAGGGGGTGTATTTTGAGTTGTACAATATAAAATGCTCCAGCGACAATTCCTTCATGGTCCATTTCATATGCGTTAACATAACCGAATGTTCAACTTCAAGTGTTGTTCAAACACTGTCTTTATACCTTACCCGAACCTTAAATCTAATCTATAACCCTGCAAGTTTCAACTCGAATTCCCCAACCCTATACAACTTTGAATATGTTTGCGAGAGAGTTACGTCCCCACATATGTTGCTTTCCACTAAGTAATACGTAACCACCTCAGTAGAATAAAGAAGTTCATAAAGATCCAATTCTCACGCATTTTGAAGATCTCATGTTTTGTATCATGTAGATTATTGTAATTCACTACTCCGTGATATGTGAATGACATATCTTAACTCTGAACTAATAAGAATCGCTGAAATAAATGTATGAAATATTTCATTCCATATACTATTATATAGAGACAACATGACTATACAATTTTAATGACATACATGAAATTATTGTTCAGTAAATAATCTGGAAAATCCACCTCTCTCTCTCGCTCTGGCAATTTTGATATAATTTATAAGGTGTAGGGGTATAGTGTCACCTAAGGAGATGGGGATGATGTCTATTTCAGGAAGAAAAACAAAAATCCTTTTTTTTGGGGGGGGGGGGGGTTCGCAAGCTAACCAAGTGAGTGACCAAAACAAGTGTTGACAATTTTTATCTGCATGACATCCACCTTTGATGTATTATTTACGAAGACATAGTAGCTTGATACTTTCTTGATGTTGGGATAAACATGTATACTCACATCAGTGGTGCGTTGAGGATCACCATCAGGCAAGACACTGGAGTAGATAATACCATCCTGCAAACAGAAATATAACGATCGGAAAATGTTAAGAAAGAGAACGGATAAAGAGAAGAAGTAAGAAACAAAATGATATTCGAATGTTTTGAAAAGTACACGATTAAACGTACGTTAGGATTTTGATCCAATCGTGCAAGAAGTATTTGAAAGAAGACGTAAATTCTACTTTCTGGCTTGTCAAGATAGTGGCCTTGTTAAGAAATATTTACCCATCTGATCCTATTGCATGAAATGATTACATAGCACGTCTCATCATGCGGCTGATAACCTACCTGATTCATATTTGACTGAGAAGAGAAGCGTGGCGGCATAGGATGATGTAGAGGAGGATGTACAGGTGATTGACATGGGCTTTCACCGTTAATTGAGATGTAGTATGGGTCATCAACGGGTATCGGAGAGGGAGGCGATGGCGATGTTATCTGTCTATGACCACGGAGAATCGCAGTATCCAAAGGGTTTGTGGTGATTTGGATATTAGTCTCGAGATCATGTCGCTGCCTCTTTCTGATACTCTGTTTCCTCCTTCGAAGTAAGGCGACAGACACGATTACTACGACGATGATAAGTATGACCACTACGGCAATGACCGTCACCACTGTGGCGGGAAATGCAGAAGTCTTGGATAAATCGACACGCTCTTCTCTTTCCATATCAGGAGCAGATACTGTATGCGATTCAAAGCTTACTCCGGGTTCTTCAGAACAAATGTCATCGCGTCGTATGCCCAGGACCAATCTTCCTTTGAATACTGGAGGGGATGAACATCGGGCATTGTGTGAAGTACTGAGCGAGCCATCAAGAACATTGGTGGATGATGCCTTAGACCAAGCCAGGAAAGGTTCCAGGAAACAGTCGCAATGCAGGGGATTGTGAGTGAAGTTGACTTTGGTTTCATTGGGTAAAGTATTAAATGAAATGTTTCGTGTCGATGTTAAGAGATTGTTCTGTAGCTTTATATCTCTGATATTACTGAGATGCGATAATGCGTTCTCTCGTATTGAACTGATTCTGTTGAATGAAAGATCTAACGTATGAAGAGCGCTTAGGAATTCGAATGATTGTTCTTGGATTACAATGAGATTATTGTGCTGGAGATAAAGGTGCGTCAGTCTATAGAGGCTCATGAAGTCACGGTTAGATAAATGCGAGATGTTGTTGAATGAAAGATACAGCTTTTCAATGTTGATGGCGTTCTGAAATATACCGGTTGGTACTTCTGTCAAATTGGTGAACTGAAGATCCAACAGAGTGAGACTCTCTAAACCTTTGAATGCAAACAGGTTCGGGTTGACGAGAGGGTTCCTTTTCAGGTATAGTTTGATTAAGCGGCTGAATCCACTAAAACAGTTATTTGGTAAATATGAGATATTGTTACCTGTGAGATAAAGGGTCTCGAGGGAACTGTCGATGCTGAAAGCATCGCAAGGTGGTGTGTTTAATCGATTGTCTTCAAGGGATAAAAACTTCAATTGTGACATATTCCCAAAGGCCCTAGGTTGAATCTCGTGAACGCTAGCATTATTCAGGAACATGTAGAGGACCCTCGGCATCCCATTCAGGATACCTTTCGTCAGGATTGGAAGATGATTCTGATTCAGATGGACTTTCTCCAATCTGGAACACCCTTCGAAGGCTCCTACCTCCACTGTCATGTTGTTTCTCTCCAAGTACAGATACTTGAGGCAGGTAAAGTTTCTAAAGGATCCTTGAGCCAACTTTACCAAGCGGTTGTCCTGCATCTTAAGGGTCTTTGCATGGAGACACCCTTGAGGAACAGACTCCAGGGCCCGACCTTGACACTCTGCTTCTTTACCCCACTCGTAGAAGTCGCAGACTTCCGAACACTCTTGGATGACCGCTTTACTGTCATCGAGGTAAAACAGAAGCACCAAAGTCTCCATCAAAATTAATGTAGGGTCCACCATCCTGATGCAGGAATCTGTAGACAAACGAAAAGGTATGTTGTATAAGAACCCCCTTTATCAGAATTGAAAAATTGAATTGAATTAAAATACACGAGGCCTATTCGCGAGAAATACGATTTACAACGAAAAGATGATTATACGCACATCACAAACAATTCGAAATAGTATCCTAAAATTGTTGCTCATGGTGATGCAAGAACTACATATAAAATCACAATCTGCAATCTGTGAGCAATCAGCAATGGCGCATCTAGTGGGGGGGGGCTACCCTGGCCCCAAAAAGAAGACGGGCCCCCTATCCCTTGCGCAAGGGGGGATGGGTGTTCATTCGGCGCTAAATGTTTTCTCACGAATTTGGAGGAAAAAAAGGAAATTAGTGCTCCGTACCCCCTCCCCCCGCTTATTCACCTATTTGGCCCCCTTCCCTGCCACCACCTGGACTACAGCCATTATATTTATTTATTAAACTTGTTTTAAATGCTTATGATTGATTTGTAATGTTTTGTTGGAAACATGAATAAATTTGAAAATCTTGAAATCTTGAAATATTCTATATATCTTTCTATATTTTCTTTCATGATGTAATCAATATAAAAAAATTGATAATAAATTAGAATCACCTTTTCTGATACTAGGAAATTTTATTCAATGAGTTCAAATTTGTAACTTATCGACCGTTACTTATATATTATTATTATGTCATTATTAGTATTATTAGTGGTGGAAGTAGTAGTAGTAGTAGTAGTAGTAGTAGTAGTGATAGTATCATTATTATTACCATTTATTCTTACTGTTGTTATTCTTATTATTTTTTTTATAATCATTATTGTTATCATTATCGTTACTTTTATTCTTCTTCTTAATATTACTTTAATAACTAGGCCCGGGAGGAGAAAAATGAACTGAATTACTATGACCCGTGTCTGTCCTTCCGGTATAACTGATTGGGATTTGCAGGTGTAACACTATACTGTCGTCCCCTCTTCTCTTCATAATGTTTATGCGAAACGTGTAGAATGAAGATTAAATAGGAAAAAGCACCAGGGGAACATCTTTTTAAAATTTCTTTTATTGCTGCATCCTGTATACCTAAATAGAACATTAGTACAGAAATGTATTTTCTACCTTGGTTTAGAATTACCCCATTAAAATTCATTACATCATTGGGATTCCCCCTCGCATTTTATTTTTCTTCTTTACAAAGCATCTATTCACTAGAACTCGACGCGACGCGAAAAACATCTTTTGTCTAAAACTAGTGCACTCGAAAGCTTCCGCAATAAGGCCTGAACAAAAAAAAAATGTTGTTTTGCCCTTTATGTAGGCGCCAGAACCTGGGTCGGTCGGTCGGATTTTTTCCATATTTTTCTTCTCCCCCCCCCCCCTCCTCAAAACAGCGACCGTCGCCCAAAAAACTCGCTCGTTTCTAGCTGGTGCAGTGCATGGTATATATATATATATATGTACACGAGGCCGGAGTCTACTTGTTTACGCTAGCAGGATTTCAAAACTAGGGCAGAAGACGAGTGAGAATTTGGGAATAACTTGATAGTTTTATGCATTAAATCCCATTTAAACAAACAAAATACATATTTTTGTATTCATTAAACATTTTTTTTCTTTAAAAAAGGTTAAATAAAAACTTTATTGAAAAGCTGACAACTTTAATGTTTTTTGTTTTGTTTTTTTGTTTTACATAATTATAAAAAACGCAATCTTTTTATGGCATATTCTGCTCATAAGTATCTGCTTGCATGGTGGTGTAGATATACACTAGGTTTACGGTTACACCATGTGAGAGAGAGGGGCCGGATTGGAGGATTGGGGAGTCCTGAAGATTAAGGACTGTCGGTATTTTTTCTTTCTTGAGTGTGTTTTCAGGACTCCCCAATCCTCTCCCTCTCTCTCACTGTCTCACATGGTGCAACCGTAAACCTACTGTATAAAATGGCATATGTTTGCGACCGTAATGTCAATCAATACAACAGCTGAGCAAAATATGAGAACGAATCACTTAATCAAATATTAGAGTTCTGATGAAGATTTCTTGAGTGTGGACATTTCTTGAACAGAGCTATACCCCTTACATGACTGAATCAAATATAAAAAACGTAAAGTGTTCTTTTAACAAACCATCACAGAACCCCACAAAACATTCTGTTCATACAGGCATGCAAGAACCACTGAGAACGGACAGACATAGTAGAAATAAATTATAATAGAAATTGTACCTTGTATTTCACGTGAACTTAATATGAATGAGTAACTTAAATGCAAACATTATTTCGCACTGTGTTCTAATAATTTGGGTGGCGTTAAAAGCACATCCATGCAAATGAACATATCCTGGCAAAAATACATCATAAACAATTGAATATGTGCATAAAAAGTCTAAATTAAATATAATGTATAGAGTAAAGCATCGAGTGACAAATACTATCACGAGAAAATATATATTTATAAAAAATCTGAATAATCATTTTTGTCTTTCTAACGACAAATTGCTATCGCTCAGCGTCCACACAGTTGAGACCTTACATATTCTACTCTGTTTGGCGTTCATTGGATTTTTGATATGTATTAAAGAATAGTCCTTTCATTATCCATAATAACTGCTATGCCAGCTTAGTAGGGCGGCATGAACAGACACAAGTATGAAGATACGAGGGTGTTAATGAGAATCCAATGGATGAATCAGGTACTAGTAGACCACTGAGAGATTAGCAGTCTAGCCCAACTAACTGCTGCACAAGACAAGGGCACTATAATATCATGTCGTGACATGTCGTTTTTGGTAATGGTGACTACTGTCAAGGTGAAATGAAAATGAGCGCCAAATGACACTTACCTTTGCGAAATGTTAGAAGACGTGAGCAGATGAGACCACAAAAAGGAACGTATGAAACCGATGCTTCGGAGCAGAGTGAGTCACCCACGCGGTGTTCAAATCATTTGTCCCTGGTTCAACTATAGACGCGGTTAGGTGAACTGGGTTTTCCCCGTTGCGTGAGCAGCGTGGCTAAATATAGGTCCTTGGTCTTCCCCACACAACTAAAATAAACACATTATGTATCACATCGTTTTCACTTTCGAATTGCACATATTGTACATATAAGCAGCCGCATGACACAATCATGACCAATAATAACATTTCGTTTTTGTGTGATGATAATGATGCCCGGCCCCCCCCCCCCACTCAGTGTTATTTAGGGTACGCATATGCTCGTACCCTCTTTTTGAAAGCACCCCCTATCTGAGGACTGACAACAATTCCGAACCCCCCTTTCGCGGGCTTTTTGCGGGCTTTTCCTGCCTTGGAGACCCCCCTAAATCAGGAAAAATGCTCAATGTACCCCCCTAAATTCGGAATAATTTCTCAGCAGTCCAAAGAGATGAGAGAAAAAAATAAAAACACCTCCTTTTTAAAGAAATCTCCGGGTGAAAAGTCAAATACACCCTTTTTTTTTACAATTCTCGGGCCAGACTTTGTCGCACGAAAAGTACCCCTTTACCGGACATTTTGGCAACACGCATGCGGTCATTCCGACCTCTGAGTGGGGGGGCCGGGTAATGATGGAGGGAAAAATCTCGCTAAAGAACAAAAACAAGGAAATAAACGAAAATGAATGAATAACTAAATAAAGATGTTTCATAGTGAAATATGATAAAATCAAAATTAAAAAGAATAAGATTTCAAAATGACTGGTTGGTGCGATTTACTCGGAATTTCTGAAAGACTTCATGCATGGCTGATTGTCAACGAAACGGAGTTAAAGAGAAGGTTGAGTTTTGGGAAGAGGTGAAAAATAATTTGTGAGCATTACTCATTCTTATTATGCAAGTGTGGAAGAACATCAGTTAAGACATGTTCCCTGAAAAGCTTGGCTCTTCAAATGCCTTCATATTCTAAATATACATGTAACATCGTAAAAATCGGGGGCCGGCTTTTTACGCCACGTGTTCGTGTAGTCCCATATACATCTTTCTGTGCAAGTGTTTGTAACTTTACCAAGACTTGGCCACATTTCTTATCATTTTGATGATTCCAGAACCTTGCAATACACACAAATTCTTATATGCTAGATGATCAACCTTTTCTGGTCGGTTCCACACCGTTTCTTTCACAATGCAATCGCATGACCAGAACTCAACTTCATCTTTAAGTTAACAAATTGGAGTCCGTATAATATATTTCGCACTGAATAAAATGTGCGCGAAACAGAACCAATAATGAACGATTTTCGTAATCGATTCCCGTAGGAAAAAAATGATGCTTATCACAACTGAGCCATAGAAAAAAAAGCGTTCTATTTTCTTCTTTCTTGTTTTTTTTTTATTTCTCCTGTATTCTCCACAAGCTTTTATTATTTGAATCCCTGTTCTTTCAATTATGCTTTGAAGTTTTCCCCTTTGCCCAAAAGATTTGTGATGGTTGATTATGCTCAATATAGCTCCATTTTGCTGCGGGCTTAGTCTCGATTCATACTTCTTTTCTTACAACATAAAAATATATTCTTCACCTTCTACCTTCAAATAAAACTAATTATTTTATAAAGATGCTCTGTTTTGCTTAATAATGATAATAATAATAATAACAATAATAATGATGATAGTATAGTAACATTTTATATAGCGCTTAATACCAGGCGCGGATCCAGAATATTGGTACGTAATGGTGACCAGCAGTGACGTAATGCGGGGGGGGGGGGGTGGGTGCAGGGAGGGGCGAGTTTCCCCTCCCTCCTCCGCGAAACGCGGAAACTTTGAAGTTTCATTAAATCGTTAGAGAAACAAGACGATTCGTTGTACAGTTCTCGACTCTTAATCCTCGTCTTAATTCAGTTTTCCCCCTCCCATGCGAAGCGCGGAAGCTGTTAAGTTTCATGAAATCATTAGAGAAACAAGACGATTCGCTGTTTAGTTCTCGTCTCTTAATCCTCGTCTGAATTCAGTTTTCCCCCTCCCGCGCGAAGCGCGGAAGCTGTTAAGTTTCATTAAATCATTAGAGAAACAAGACGATTCGCTGTTCAGTTCTCGTCTCTTAATCCTCGTCTGAATTCAGTTTTTCCCCTCTGGCGCGAAGCGCGGAAGCTTTCGATTCATTAAATCATTAGAGAAAGAAGACGATTCGTGGCGTTCTCGAAAACAATAATCGTCTGAATTTAGTTCCCCCCCCCCCCCCCCCTCCCGCGAGAAGCGCAGAAGATTTTACGTTTCATAAAATCATTAGAGAAACAAGACGATTCGTTATACAGTTCTCGACTCTTAATCCTCGTTTGAATTCATTTTTTCCCCTCCCGGAAGCTTTTATGATTCATTAGACTATAAGGGAACGAGGACGATGCTTTGTACCGTTTTCTACTCCTAATCTTCTCCTTTTTCTTCCTACGTCCTCTTCATTTTGTCTCCTCTATTTTTATCTTTTTTTTGGCCGGCGATTTTGGGAGGACCGCACCCACCCCCCCCCCCCCCCCACCCTGGCTACGCGCCTGCTGTCAGATAAACACATTTTGATACCTTGTCCGACCCCGAAAGCTCAGGGGTTTAAGGCAATAAATTACGGTCAGATAAGCATTAAGGGGCCCGCCTTAGGTGGTCGAGGCAGTGGAGCCCCCGGAAGCTCAGGGGTTTTAGGCGTTTAATTACGGTCAGTTGAGCTTTTTCTTGTTGATACCTTATTATTTTGTGACACTGGCAGGACACTATTCGGCATGGGGTCCAGGGGGCGAAGCCCCAACAAATCAGGGGTTTTGGGCAATAAATTACCGTCAGATGACCATCTAAGGGCCCGTCTTAGGGCCCTAGGTGGAATCCAGGGGGCAGAGCCCCCGGAAGCTTAGGGGTTTTAGGCATTTAATCACGGTCAGATGAGCATATTTTGATGCCTCATTATTTTTTGACACTGGCAGTTAACTATTCTTTCTTTCTTGCTCTCTTTCTTTTTTATTTCTCTGTAATATACTTTTCAAAAAAAAAATGGAGGGGGGGGGGAGCTCGAGGCTCCCGATCCCCACCGTTCCTCGGGCCCTGACATAAAGGAATCTCAAGAATCATATTTCTTGCCTGGCTGTAAATTTAGGAATTCGTCATTTTCCAAAAAACACATAAAAAAGTATAATTTACTAAAAAGTCAGGAAATTATGTCATTTCAGCATTATTTGTAATCCACCGTTATGCAATAAGAACTAAACCACGTTTGAATTTGATTTCCCCAAGCCCCCCCCCCCCCTATCAGTACGCCAGTATCTCCTCTTTTCCTTTTTTCTTTCCCCTTGCTTCTCTCTTATTTTTTTGATCGGGGGTGGGGGGGGGGCAACAACCTGGGAGGCAAGGCCCTTTCGGCCCCCCGAACTCCTTCTTCCCCCTTTTCTTTTCTTCTCCCTCTTCTTTCTTTCCCTTTCTCTCCTCTTTTCCCTTCCCCTTCTTTTCCTTTCTTCTCTCTTTTTTTTTGAGGGGGGGGGGGAGGGGCAAGGCCCGCTCGGCCCCCTGGATCCGCGCCTGCTTAATACCAATGTTTCTCGCTGTATTATTATTACCACAATTATTATTACGGCATTTGAATTCCGAGGTTTCGAATCTTGATTGGGCGCGCGACACGAAAACAGTCCAGGCTGTGGACTATACAGGGAAGCATGTCCTCCAGAAGACACCCCAAAGGAAAAAATACTGCGTTTTAATAGTATACATGTAACCTTTGATGAATGGAATCATCGTACAGGATGCATGGGTAGTTAGATGTATATCGAGTGTCAAAGCCTGTACATGTTATAGTTCCTTATACGACAACACCCTACTTCAAATACACTGTTTGTCATAATGGTAGAATAATTATTTTTACCCCAATTTATTGAATTGTGGATTTTCAAGTGACAATGATTTATTCCTAATAGATCTAAATAATACATGTAGTTATTCTCAGATTATATTGAATAATAATTTGTGAGTGTTTGTTTTGCGTGACTAATAAAGCATGTGTGTGCTACTATGCTAATCAACTAGGGGACCTACGTCCTTAAGTCATAACTGACAGTAACGAGCCCATGATTAATGCCTCATAAAAGGGCACTAATATAGCACATCGACACGGTTCTGATCCTGGGGGCTCACAGTAATGAGGCCATTGCTTAGCCACTGAATCATGACTGTACGCAGCGGGGGCTCGGGTACGTCGCCGCCCTCACAAATACCCCCAAAAAAGAAAAAAGAAAATGCAATAAATTATCGATATTTCATTGCATTTTGCCCCGACCCCCAATATAAAACAATCCTCTATGTGGGCATGCCTTCAACCATAATGCATGGACCTACAGACGATTAAGGGATTAAGGGGTAAAAATAATGATTCCACCTTTACGACCAACAGTGTATGATTGCCATCATCCTCGATCCATTTCGTTGTTAACCAGCTCGGTGTGCCTCCAAATCGGAATTCTGTGCACTAGCTTTATTTATCATATATAATGTCAAAGCGTCCATTAAAAAAAAATCATGTTGTGGGAAGTGGCAGCCCCTTCCCGTCGACCCCTCCACGAAAACATCTCCTGACTGGGTCGCTCCGTTTACCCATCCTCATTAACAAAACTTATCCTTTATTCATCCTTTATTCATCGGAGAATGTTTCCTTTGCACTTCAAGGAAAAATAACCGAGTTACCAAATTGTTTTAAAAACTAAGCAATTCTGAAAATTTGAAATGCCAATTTAAAATCATAATTCTATCATAAGTTGGCTGATTCTACATTTAATTCTCTTGTGATCTGTTTCTTCGATTTCTGTGCAAGTTATTTTGGGGTCGGGGTTGGCCTTTCATCTATGATCCTTCGCATCCGTAATAACTGCTATGCCAGCTTAGTAGGGCGACATAAGCATATGGAGACCAGGCATTTT